GTTGGAGCATAATCATCATATCAAAGCCACTATCAATGCATTATTGATTCAGACATCTTAATACATGTTTGGGCAGAAATAAATTAAAGGTTAGGTGTGTATGGCGAAGGAGTAAAATAATTTTACCTTGGCGTAAAAAGTTTAATTACACCAATGTTAATTAAAATATTTATCCCTCATAAACTTATATAAGCATTTTACAGTTTAAAATACATATTAAGACTAGGAAAATATTTTTGAATTCAAAAATTACTTTCATTTAGTTAGTAAAATGCTTTTAAAGAGAAAAAGTCCAAGTGAGCTTGCTGAAAAATAAATAAAAATGCAATATTAACAATAAGTAAATTGAAATTACGACAGCTCAAGTAAATCAGTGATCTGTTTCATCCGCCCAAGACGCTGATTGCATTTTTCGATACTTATTGCACCGACGCACTGAGCGCTATAACTATTGGTCTATTTTGAACACCGGATTAGAAGCCAGCGACGGCTTTCTAAGTTATTGTTGATGATGATCAGAAGAACACCAATAGCGCATGCGTACACTACATTTACAAAATTAAGCAATTCTTCATAACAATTTAGAGTTGATAGCAAAACTCTAACCCTGACTCGTTGATTTGGGTGATAACGTAGAATTAAAGTTGCACTAATATGCTATTTATTCTTTTGAGTTTCCACTATTATAATTACAAATATTTTAGTTATTGACGCATTTAGTCAAATATGACATCATTGTTTAAAATTGTTGTGCTGTAACTCAAACACAGATCAAATTTTCTCTGCTTTTTGGCGCTTTAAAAATATTTTCTTTCTTCAAGTTGATATATGTAAAATTTAAATTCTTCTTTATATTTCATTCGTTAAAGAACCAACAGATGCTATAGAGTTAGTACCATTAATGTTTTAAGGAGAAATTTAATTTCAGGCTGAAGTAAATTCTTATTACTACGTATTTTGAAATTATTTTATTATTTAAAAATGAAAATATTACTTTCAGAAATAAAAATTTTATATTTAAAAGTAGGCAAATATTGGATTGGTCAACCCCCAATGTCTAATTAAGGAAACATTTCAATATTAATTATCTTGGCGTATTGAAATATTAAATTTGAAGTAAATTAAAAATTTTAAAATAATGACATAACTTGTAAATATGAACAATTATATATTCATTATTATATTCATTATTATATATTCATTATTATAGATTTTCTAGTGCTATTACTTTAACTACTTCACATTTTTCAGTTGATAATCTCTTATGTAAAGAACACAACAAGATTTAAAAAGATTACACACAAATAAAACTTTGCAGTCTTTTCACAAAATAATAATTGTTTTGTAAATCATTGTAATCACAAATAATAATTGTTGTTCCTCATTCTCAAAACTTGAAACTATACACATTCCTTGTTTGTAAGCTGTTCCTGAAACTAACACTTTTCAAGTGTGAAAAAACTGTTTATAACCTTCTAGAATTCTGGCAATTTCGGCAGAATAAATATTTTTATCCATAGGTTTGGCACTGGTTATAACAATATTTTTTCCAAAGCCTCTTTCTTGATTAAAAGCATTAAAGTTGTTGGTGCCTTTGCGCTATTGAGGGAAGATTATAAATTCATTAATGTAATGCATGCTAATAAAATGTATAAGAATTGAAATAACTTAAAGTTTGAATCCTGACTTTTTTCAAAACGTAGAAACATCAATCAAAGCAAGTCATATTTTAATTGCTATTTTTAAAATGCAATATTAAAAAAAAAGTTTAGAAATTGTTGTTCTTATATAAAAAAAAATTTTAAAACATTTCCCCATCTGAAAAATATTTTGAAACTAACTATTTATTATGGTAGGGGGGGGGGACATTTTTATCTTAAGCCTCCTTTCACCCACAAAAATCTGGAAAAGAAAGGAAGGTTCTGGTATATTTAAGATATTATTATTATTTTATTTTAATTTTTTTTTTTGCTGCTAAAATGTGCCCATGCACCTTAGAAGAATTCTCCTCATAAGAAATTGTGAATTGAATTTTATGCAGGGTGACCCCGGAAACAAATTGCAGAAGAAACTGTCAACTGTTAAAATATTAAATGAACAACATCATAGTCACTTGGATAGATCAAAGAGTTTGTGTTGAGTCTAAAAAGGCGGGATATGGCTGCTGATAAACACGCAAGCAGTATTCATGTGGATGATATTAAGACTCCACCTGTATACTGTTTGTGAGGATTGTCTTTTTTACTAAATTTCTTTTGTTTCAGAGAAGCAGATATATTTCAGAATTAAAAAAATTACTTTTATAATGAGAAAAAAAACTTTTCAAAAGAAGTATTTTTGAAAAAAAAACTGTAATTATTATAAAGAATGAATACCTTTTTTGTGATCAATAAAAACATTCGAATTCATGTTTATGTTGACTCATTACCCCCCCCCCCGCTCGCGAAATACTAATGTGGGCTAAATTAATATGCATAAATCTACAAAAATAAAAAATAAAAAAAAATTTGCATAGAAAAATTATTATCTAAAGCAAAGTATTTATGAGCATCTAAGTATTTTTGTTTATTTAGATTTAATAAAAAAAAATATTTATTAACTTTTCAAATCCGATATTTTGTTTCATTTAAAATTTGTTCCCCTTAGTTAAATATTAAGAAGAAAATCTTTTTTTTCTTAAATCATAATAAGAAATCAGATTATTTCTAAATGCTATAACAAAAATCTTATTCTTGTTGGTATTTAGTTCAAAATTTCATTAAGATTCTTGGCAATTAAAAAAATTAGAGCTTTGTTTTCTTTAGCGCCAATATTGGCCACTTCCTTTCCTATCTTGTGCACCCAACCAACTTAAAGAAACCCAGTTTCCATGACAACGGCTTGAGGTGAAGTGGAGTATAATTTGATTTGAAAATTTTACTACAAAAGCATTTAACAATGTATAGACAAACATTCGTGTAATTGTGCGACATTATAAACGAAAATGAGGAATATATAACATGAAAATCAAAACAGAAGCACAGATGTTGATAAAAAGTTTTAGTCCTAACAGAAAGTACTTACTATTGTTATTTTGTTTGTTCGGTAGAATGCAATTAAAACACGGATCTAGAAAATTTTCACCGGCAGGAAATTTGGCGAGAAGCTAGGCTGCTTATAATAACCGCATTTGCCATTTGTCACTGGTATTGCACTTTCTGTGCACATAAAATAGATGTATCCCCTTATTTACTGAAAAAGAGCTAATATAGACTTTGAAATATTTAATTATTCATACAACGACTGTAGTTTCCTAGAAGAAATTTGAAACTAACTCTTTCAGAACACACGACAAAATTTTTAAAGATGATATGAAACAAATGAACTGTAATTATTGCAAATAAATAAGAAAAGTTTACTTACCTTAAAAAAGAAATAGACAATTTCAAAGACAACTTGCGTGAGATGTTAGCGAGCTTCGACAACAAAATCCGCCATTAGTCAACAGTTACAAAATAAGTTATCGGTCACAGTTAAAGTTTGCGCCTCTCATAGTACGAAAAAATGATGGTCAATCGATTGCGCCATGAATGTATTTCTCGATCATATTTACCGATTTATGGTGCAACCTAAATAAAATAATTTTTCATTTAACCTATTCATGGTGCAATTAGAAACTTTGCAACCAAGTATTAGTTAAACATTTACCGAGTTTTTTACAGTGTACAAAAGCTCTCCTCAATGCTTTGGAGGTAGTGAAATACTTTCTTGAAGATAATCTGTTAAAGCATGGTTCTCTGAGATTCCTAGTCAGAGACCGCAGAGCTGTAAGAAACTCTGTACTTGAAACTCTTTTGTTAAACATCTTACAACCACAGCCTAACATCCTCAGACAAATGGTTTAACAGAAATAATTCATTTTGTTTTATAACCCTAGTTGAAAAGCCGACCGAATTTTAGATTTTGAACTGCGTAGTCTTGCATTTTTAAGCTCAATCAAAAAGACAAGAAAATTCCTGGATCAAGTATTGAGAGAAAATTGCCTTCGTGGAGGATTTTTTGATGGAACCAACCCGCGTTACATGGAAAGAAAACCTCCCACGGTTAGCCTAACGGCAGGGGGACTCTAACCCACTCTATCACTGAGGATATTTTACATCAGCACTGTGGTGGGTGCAAGTCGGATGCGGAATTCGTATCGACTAGCCACCGCTGGGATTCAAACCCGGTTCACCTCATTGTAAAGCGAATGCTCCATCCTCTGAGTAATCAAGGGGCAATTAACAATACGTTTGCTGATATGTTATGGATGTATGTTGACGTTGATCAAAAAGACTGGGATACTATTTCAAATTTCGTCCCCTTCGCCTATATTGCAGCCAAACATGGAACTATAGTTTCTTGTTTCACGTTCCATTTTACCTTCTCCATCGTTATGAAGCCGAAACAACTTTAAGCACTATATTTCCTCATCAACTTGGGTTTAAAACTAATAATGCCTCTCACCTTGTTTGTAAGGGAGAAGAAACGAAACAATTTGCTCTTCTGCGCACACGCTATGCACAAGAAAAGATGCAATGCAAATCATTGACCAGTCTCTTATAGACCGGGAGAATTTGTTTAGACCTGTTGGAAAGGTTGTGTTGCCTGTATAGTTATTGAAAAAATACTTCGGACCTTATAGAATAAAACGACATTGCCTAAGTTTACCTATGAGGTCGAAGACTTTGCATTTTCCACAAAGCGTAAAACTACGGACGCCGTGAACGGAATGCGCATGAAACCATACTATGATCCATCATTCCGATTAGAACCCTTTTTTCCACAAACACCAATTAAAACCAGAGTAAGATAGAATATCAATGTCCTATCATCAGGTCCTGCACCAGATGTCCCATAAAGTGAAACAGTGTTTTCTAAAGAGGATGTTGTGCCCGAGGAACCAAGACGTGAAAGTCATCATACTGGCGAATCAGAGATTCGGAGTTCAATCCTCTTAGATAAAAGAAAGTGCATATACATAGGGTGTTTAAGATTTTATTAATTATATGAATGTCTTCTAGACGCTTCTATTACATCACTTCCTGTTCCTTATTTAATTGTACATAAGTTCTGGCGTTTCAAGTAGAAAAGCAGTTATCTTGTTCCATGCATGTCGGAAGTGTTCAATAAATCTGTGTTATCAGTAATCTGGATTCTGTGTGTATATATGTGGCAATATTATTGTCTGTTCTCGAACATTTTTTTTTATCCACTTCCTAAAAAATTAAAATATTATTATTAAGAGAAGTTAAAACCACAACAATAATACATTATTATCAGTAATGCGGCCACCCCCCTTACAATTCGATGGTTAAAATTCCGAATCCATCGAAAAAAGGTATATTAATTCAGAGAAAACGAAATTTTGTGTCTAATTTCGTAACTTAAAATATTGTATGCGCTAATTAATTAGCATATTCATCGTTACCCCCTCCAGTCATTAAGATTGAACCCTAGAACGTGAAGATCCGATCATTAGATCATAAGTTAATCAGGGTGGTTCGTTTTGTTTTTGGTGCTCTGTGCCTAAGGTTAGACCCTTGAACGATTGAATATGGTTATTTATATGCACTGTACTTTATTTTATAGCAGCTTTGATTGGTTAATTAAATCTAGAAAGTTAACCCTCATTTAAAAAGTATCGTTTCTGAAATGTTAATCGAAATATTTATTTCTGAAAAATTTATACTTTCATTCTTTAGTAGTATGGTTTTCAGCATAAAGTTCAGTTTAGAGTTTTGAGTTTAAAAAATACTTTCACATAGTTAATTCAATCATTTTATGCAAAAGCGAATAATTACTCACCGTCTGATAATACTCCATCTAAAAAGGAATATTATTTTTAAAAAAAAATTGTTTATGTGTATTGAAATCACAACAATGGTACACATTAACCAGTGATACAACGAAATCTTCACAGCAAAAGCTTAAATTATTTGAAATTTCGCCATTTGGAAGGGGGAAATATTGAAATTTATAATTTTCAGCTTAAAAATATTGTAATCTTTCAAATTTGAATTGCGTTATATTTGTTACATAATGTAAAGGCATTTTTTGGAAGCACAAAATTAAGAAAAAATTTGAGTAAATAGAATTTTAAAATTCCCATTTGAAGTTTATGTTAATAAGAACTCTTTTATTTTATTTTATAAGCATCATACTCAATAGTTTCCGACTATTTATGTTCAACTCTGTTGCCTTGCAATTTGTAACCTAATCCAAAAGACAAGGGTGCTCTTGGATTAAGTATTGGGAGAAATTTGCCATTGCGGAGGCCTTTTTGATGGAGTTAACTCGCATTTGCGTTACATGGAGAAGAAAACCACGAAAACGTGCATAATTCGTATCACAAATATTGCTGGGATTTGATCCCGGATCACCTTATATGGAGGCGAGCTCTATGAGAACTATCTGACAATATTCTCTAAAATATTGAGTGTTGTTAATATTATACAAATAATATAAATACTTATATGTATTACTATTCAAAAAGTTTAGATCACTTGAATTTTGTCCCCTTATTTTCCAAATAGCGACAGCAAAAGTCAAAAATCCTCCGAATTTTTTTTTCTTTCATTTCACAGAAAAAATATGTTTATCTGTTTGTTTTTATGAATTAAAACATTTTCTGAAGTGAATAAAGAGGTGTAAGTTTAGACTCTATAATGTTTGGTGGTGGAAGGACTGATCTTCGTAATCACTTCAATCACTTACATGTATTGAACAAATGATATGTATGTATAAGTTTGGAATCTTTAACGATTAGAGGAAGGATTGATCTTTGTAATCACTTTAATTCATTTTAATGCAACCCTGATAAGTGAAATAAATCTCGCAAATAATGTAATCGCAAAAACAGTTTCACTTTAAAAAATTTTTAACAAAATTGTTTTCCTTAAAAATTTGATACTATCTATCGTCTATGGCTTGGAGTGAAGTATAAATAGCTTGCTTAGATTTGGAATTATTAGAATTTGGAATTATAGTATTTTCATCTAGTTCATCAGATCATGTAAAAATAATGAAAACCACTTACTAGACATTAATAATCCACTTAAAGCTTCTAAAAATAAAATGATTTCACATGAATTTTGTCTTACATTTATCGTAACATTGACCTTAGTTTCTACCCCTGAAGTTTACTGCAATTTGTTGGGAAAATTTTTGTTCGTGCGATGTGAAACTTAAATATAGCTTAACTCAGACAAATATTAATAATAACAAGAATTGAAATTACAAAAAGATGAATATAATTCTAGAAAAGTTTAGCCCAATTCAAAAAAAATTAATAAAAAGATCCTTAACATAATTTTTTCACAACTCCATCCATCGATTTACAACATTTGTATTTATGGGTTTTCATCGATACTTTTTTTTTTTACGTTTTAATTTAAAGCAGTGATTCTAATAAAACTAAGACAATTCTTTTGTGTACTCTTCTATTACAGGGTTTATGAGATTGCGCGCATGGGATTGTTAGCTGTTATTGTTGAGGAAAAACTGTAACCGCACTTATGTGAAGCAGCTTTCTTCTACGTCCGCATGTAAGCATAATGTTCCGATTGGCCGTTAAGTTTGAGAACAAGAAGGCTGTAACTCTGTTTATCTGATGTTCTTTTCTATTTCTCCTGTCCCAGTGTACTTTCCAACTGTGTAATGTTCTATTAAACATGTCATTCTTCGATCCACTGATCTCTGAATTTCATTACAACAACAGTTATTACTGCAATTAAACCGTTAACATTAATCCTTAAACTTAAGAAAAGTTGCTTTGAGGTTAAAGCGAACAAATACAGGGCGAATCATTAAGAAGTGTGCAGTTTCAATTAGTGCTCGGAAAACTACATTATTTTTGTAGTTTACTTTAAATACAAATGCCTAGTTACAAATGTAGTTAACTACCATTACAACTACTTTTTTAATGTAGCAACTACAAATAACTTTCGACTACTTTACAACTTAACGGAACCGAATTTTACTGGAGTCATTAATTTACACTTGTATAATTTACTCTGCTGGAGAATTCACTTTACATATTATGTTCAAAATGATATTGAATAAAAATGGGTCTATATTGTACTTGTAGGATTATTTAGAAATATTTATGCATGCTTAAATGAGCCAGTTTGCTGTTCTAAAACATTTCATTAAAAAAAAAAAAAACATTTCGAATTTGTTCATTTTTTCTCCAACTTTTTATGTCCCTCTCGACAGAGAACATTTAATTTAAGAAAGGCTCGGAAATTATCAAATACTCTCAATTTTGTTAAGTGTTTATTGCTCCTTTATTTCCTCTAAGAAATTAAGTGCATCGAAAATATGTTTACTTCCTTTACATTCGCATGTGAAAATATCACAATATATGATAAAATATCTTTTGTTTGTAATAGCTAGCTTAAATATTAGTTATACGTGACTCTAAGTACATAAATATTTTTAGCTTATTGTCCTAGGGGCATTTTAAATTGCGTTCACTGACTGATTCAGGAAGATTTGTACCCATCAAATTCTTTACCAAACTAACAAAAAAAGTAATTACCAAAAAAAACGTTAAAAATTAATGATTTGTCTTTTTTTTTTATCTCTTTACTCATTGCACTACTTTTTTAAAAACGTGGCCACTACACTACAAACTACAAAAAAGTAGAGACTACTTGTAGTGAGCCACTTCCGACCACTGACTTCAATGAACTAAAAGTCAAGAACAATGTAAGATATTATGTGCTACCTGCAACAGATATGTATTAGATTATTTTAAGTGTTGATAGAAACAATTGCTGATATTCTATCTGTGACCCTTTAGTCACTTAACACGCATGGAGCCGATAATCTATTTCCTTTTAATGCGTGTTAAGATATCTGAATTAAATCCATCGATAGTGATCAATCCCGCTTAGTTTTCACCGATGACGAGATACTCCGCATCAATGTTCTGCGTTATGTCCAGAAAGAAAAGTTTCGGCCAATATTTTTATCAAAAGCAAATTGTCACGGGAGCCACTTTTTTGGATCAGTTAACTCTTCCTTGATGCCACAGGACAATGTTGACAACTTCATTCTTCAAATAGATGGAGCACTACCATGCAGGTGGGGAGAGCATCTCTTTCTGCTGTTCTGACCATTGCGAAATCCCTCTCAGCAAAGGAAAACCTTCTCATCTCCCCGACTAGCTCTCCATTTCCTTTTTCTACGTGTGATTACAAGTAAAATAATTTTCACACGTTTATCTCGGTGTAAAAAAGTTTCATTTAGCAAATGTTAATAAAAAATAATTATCCCTCGTAAACCTATAGAAGCATTTCATAGTTTAAAATATGTATTAAGATTCGGATTTTTATTTTTAAACTCAAAACGTGCTTTTATTTAGTTCATTCGAAGCATTAAAATTGACTTACTCGCAATATCTTTTGCTACAGAAGTAAAATACAAAATTAATAAGTAAAAAGGAAACATTAACAATAAATGAATTGAAATTGTAACAGGTCAAATAAATAAGTCATCTGTTTCATTCGACTCAAATTGCATTTTCCGACTGTGAATGCATTTTTTTGACTCTGTTCTATTGTTATTCTGCATTCTATTGTTATTCTGCATTCTATTGTTATTCTGCATTTTATTGTTACTCTGTTATTCTGCATTCTATTGGTCTGTTGTGAACATCGCATTAAATATCAGCGACGGCTTTTAACCCTTTATTTCTCCATCCCATGAAGATGACGGGGTGAGGTTTCGCCCTCTATTTCTCGCTCCCATGAAATTTCCGGGCTGGAGTGTTCAGTAGTAACGTGCTAAACTAATAAAACGAAACTAATTCATTTCTTTCGCCCGGAAAACATTATATTTCACATTTTACACACCAAATGGCAGTACCAGGATATTTTTAAGGTAATTGCAGATAGTTAGTTTATTTTAAACTAGATGTCAGCACTAATCAAGTACGTGTATTTGGCAAAATATGCACTTTAATGACCGTTTTCTTGAAAATTTACCGATCGTTAAGGGGTTAAATCATACTTGACGAAGAACGATAATGGAGCATGCGTAGAATGCAAATAATTGAAATAATTTAAATTATGAAAGCATTTTATTAAATATAAAATGGGAGTGTTAAATGAAAAAGAGTTAATTCCGCAGATTCCTTGAAAAAAATTAAAATTTAAAAAAGAGGCATTCATTAAACGCTCACTAAAATTAACTTGCTGAACAATAAAATACGCACTTTAAGTTTTAAAGTGATATTAAATGCGTCATATATTTGAAAATTCAACATTTTGAATTAATATTCATGGAGTTACCCCATAGTAAATCACAAAATTGTGTTTTCATCATAATAATTTAGACGAAATAACAAAACATTTTTCTGATTCGTTGATTTGACTGATAACGTTAAATTACAGCTGCACTAAAGGGCTATTTATTCTTTTGTATTTCAGCTATTATAATTACAAATATTTTTGTTGAATGACGTCACTGTTTAAAATTCTGTGTTGTGCTGTACAGAAGCAATTAAAAGTGCCGAAATATTTTAAATATTTAAAAATACTCACCAAATTGATAAACTTCATTGAATAAATAAAGAAAAAAAATCATTAGATTAATTTATTCTTAAGATTAAGACATGAATTGCATTTTTGAAAAATGAATCAAAATTGATTTCTCTATATTTCGTATAAATATATCTTTATATTTTGTATTTCTCTATATTTTGTCAAAATAGTTATATTTACAATGTTTTTTTAAAATGTAACTAAAATTTTAAATTTAAAAGTTAACATTTATGAAATCAGACAGTATTTCATTCCAGAGTGAAGAAATATTATGTGAAAATGATGATGGAAAACCACATTTGGCGTCACATTTAGTCACAATCACGTTTGGCACATTTTTTTTTTTTAAATCCGTTTCATTTACAACGCCGAAATTAGTCTGAATTAGATAATCTCGAAACAAAAATAAGAAAAACACAAAATACTTATTTTTGTTTAACTTAAAACTAAAAATAATACTTTATTTTTAAATGACATTTAAACTAAAAATGATTAAAGCTAATAGATAACAATGGTTAAAGCTAATAGATGACAATGAAATATTAATTAAAAGCGTTTTATGACGCTATAAATACTAGTAATTTTGATATTGTATATTCGGAGAGTAATGTTTTTTGATAAGACATATAATTTTAAGCAACTTAAGAATCTGGTAGTTTTACTCCAATAATCTTTCGTTACTGAGAATGAAGTTGAAGTTTTTCCTAGTTATTAAACGCTTATGACTTATGAGGTCTTGTGTGTTTGCAAAAAAAAGTTACTAGAATCTAACATTTTCGACCTTTATGAAAAAATAATAAACTAAATATTTATTCACAGGAATTAATATTGTTATTCTAAACAAGGCTTAACTGATCATTTTAGAACATTTTGGAGCTTATCATTTTAGATAAATTTGAAATTTATGCGTGCTCTTTGCTTATTCGTTTACTTACTTTCGAATTAAAACGAACGATTTTTTTTTCAAATATGCCATATAATCCTTACTGAACTTTGTCCGGATCCTTGTAAATAAAAGTCAACGAAATATATCAAATACAGTAGCAAACGTTAATCGAGAAAGAATTGTTATGGAGCAAGGATTTTTGCATAGGTAGCCCCTTTCCACTGACTTAGAATTTTGAAACAACAATAAATAAATATTGCTACTTTTATTGTAATTATTTAGTCAGCTTTTTTACCATTTTATCATCATTATACATTTCTTTTTCATTCTTCCTCATTCTTGTTTAAAAACAGAAATCAAAGAAATATTCATACTTCGGTTCTCAAACCAGAGGTCCGAGGAAGAACTTTTAGAAAGCGAAAATTTTCGCTTAGTCGGATTGTTTCCACTAATTTGAGGTTTAAAAAATCATAATAAATGAATACTGCTGCTTTTTTTGTTATTATTTAGTATATATTTTTTATCATGTATTATCCATTTACTCTTCGTTCTCATTCTCTGTCGTCTTGTTAACCATTTTCATGAAAATAGACCGTTCGTTCATTCGAAAATGTGCCACCGTCAATAGCTTTTTTAACTCCAGTAGTTTTTAAAAATTGTTGCGTAGATTTCATTCTCTAAAATAGGTTTTATTAATTTTAATAATGCTTTATTTAGTTGGGAACCTTTTCACTTCTTAGGAATTTAGTTGGCGGTCCACAAGAATAAATATATTTCGCTTGGTGCTGCGTAAAAAATCAAAAGATTGACAACCCTTATCATTGAGAGGAGCTTGAAAAATATATATATAATAAAATAGTACCAACTTCTGAAAGAATCACTACAGTCGAAGGCGGGTCTAAAAAATCCTAACTTGTTTGATAGCTGAAAGGAACTGAGTAAAATAAAGAAAATACGTAAATATACGAAACAACTGATCATGTGATCAAGCTGGTTTTGACGCCGCATTTTAATTGGCGTAATGATTCATAAGATTTTGAAACCGTTTTTAATTTCTCGTAACGAAATTATTAATTTTTGACTCCTAATATGTATACTTTGATCTCTTCATTTACAAGGATATAAATTAAGGTTGATCACACGGAAGCATTTAATATATAATTTTTATAAGATTCAAATTTATTTACTTTTACCCATGATGCTTTCTACTAGATAAATATAAGGAAATGCTAATAATTAACTAATTATAAACATCATATTTAAATTCCTGACATAAAAGGTTTCATTTCTAAAATGTTTGTCAAAATAAATTTTTCCTTCAAACGTTCAACCTAGCATTGTATAATATGGATTATAGCATAAAAATCATTTTAAGAATTCGAAATATATTTTTGAGTTAAACAAGGTCACGTGTCTCACCACATCCCTTACAAGCATTAAAATTTACTCACCTCCGAATGGGATATCCCCTGAGAGAACTGAAAATAAAATATATATTATAAATATTCAAAATAAATAAATATTTAAACATAAAAAAACATAAATATTATACATAAATATTTAAACTGAAAATAAATATTTAAACATAAATTAAATCTAAATAAATACAGTAATTTATGTAAATCAGTGATAGAACAGAATTGCATAGCGAATTTCTATTGCATTCCATTTGTATTCCATTTTTGAGATACTTTTATTTTTGGAGTTTAAATTGCAATCTAAACTCTGAATATTTTGAAATATATATTTCGAAAATTTTCTGAATGTGGTAATAAAAACGTTATTCTAATTAATAGATAGAACTTTACAAAAATTGTTTCCTTGTTATAAAATCACCAACTTGAGTTCAGTAATTTTGGAATGCCTAATTTATCGCTCTAAATTCAACTAAAATTTTATTCTAGGAAATAGTGAACCTTAATAACGAAATTAGACTCAAAAGTTAAAAAATTCATTGAAAATTTACAAATATACATATTTTTAAATTTTTTAGATTGAAACAAAAATAAATATTATTAAATTAATAAATATATTATTTATTTATTTTTTTCGTTTTTAATATGTATTCTAATATCTTATTTATTCTTTTAATACAATAAATTATATTGTTCTAAGTTCAACTTTCAAATCAGCGCTAAAAAAATAATTAGAAATTTTGTATGGATGTGGTATTTTTTTTTTAATTTGACTCCTATTCTCTTTAGCCCTGCCATAAACTAGCAATATTTGTAGATCAACAAACAAAGGTTATCACAGAAATAAAAGCTGATTAAAAACCTAATATTTTCCCTGAGACTGTCAAAAAGTTCTGAAAAGAAGAAGTTCTGTCAAGTGTTCTTTTTTTATCCTTAGAAGTTGTCTAACATAAGAAAACATCAATGTTGACTTCAATGTTGACTCACTTGTGACAAAATAGCCGTATTTTAAAATAATTTATTAACGACATAAACAAAAATCATATATATATATATTACTCACTTTTATCAAATATGCTTGAAGAGTCGTCTGAAAATAAATTGTTATTAATAAGATAAATTATTGTTAAAAGGATAAATTAATATGAAAGCATGATTTATATTGACCAGAGATGCAGTTAAACAACATCGTGAATTTCGAATTATTTAAAGATTCACTATCTGGGAGAAAAAAAGGTTAAAGTTATCACAGGAGTGGTAAATGTTCTTTTAAATCTTCTTGCTCATGGTAGAATAATTTAATATCTATTATTTTTAGTTTCAAAATATTGTATTCCCTTAAATCTAAATTACAAAAAAAAATTTTTCATGACCTTAGTTTATTTTTCGCAACGTAAGAAATTTTATGAAAAAAAATCACCTTTTTAATAATTTTTCTGGAACTATTTGAACGATATTGTTGAAGTTTATATTTCTGTTATTAATTAATCTTATGTAATCATTTGCTTAATAAAAACACAGAAAGTAAATATTTATTACTGTCAAAAATGGCTTGTTGTCTTTAATAATAATACCAAATTTTTCAGATAGTAGCAACGGATTCGAAAATTTCAATTCACTGGAAAGAAGTTTATTGAATTGTTAAAAGTAACTAAGCCTTTTTATGTCCAAATTCGCAAATTGACTGTCACAAAACTCGCCAAAAAGTAAAGGGGTTAAAAAGTCACCTACGGGAATGTGTTTATTGACTAAAAAAATTAAGACCATCGCTAAGTAACACGAATCTTTGCTCTTCTTGATATTAGGTTTCTTATGCATTATCCTTTATCGTAGTTCAAATTCAATTCATTGTACACAATTTGATGAACGGTTGCGTGATAGAAGTTCAACTGGAAGCCCATGATCCCGAATTCTGTCAGCATTTGCATCGGTTTTCGTAATATATATCCCTCTGCTACATTCCTTATCCTCCATGCGACACTTTTCCTCTTAAAAACTCATTAAGGTACCTTAGAGAAAACATTGACTCCGTAGGCCTGTTGGAGTTTTGCAAAAGTTCTAAATGACCATGTCCAAAGCTAAATTTGATATCGCACCATTTCACCGATTCATGTCGCTCATTTCTATAACTCACTACAAAGACCGATAATAATATATGATATATATAATATTTTATTTAATTTTTATATCGATGCAGCATATATATTTCTTAATATTAATGTTTATATTAATTACTGCTGAATTGAAATCAATCATTATCAGAAAAATAATGGAGACGAAACATTAACTTACCGGCAGACAGCAGATGAGCTATAAAGTAGTCAATACATTAGTTTCATGTATTTATTCTGCTCTTTCATAATTTACGCATCTCAATATTTCTAAGATATCATCTTTACATATATCGTTGTAGCTGTTGTAGTTTATTTAGGTCACACTAGAACTGTACAATAGGCTATTGGTGACAGTCGGGTAAACATCCCTGAGAATGATCCGAAGGCATGCCATCACAATTTTGATCCTCGGCAGAAGGGGTGGCATCCTCGCCTCGGTAGCCCGACGACCTACGCGTGCAGTCGAAAACTTAACGATAGAACAGTTTAACGAGGACCCATACAGCACACTCCCGGTCCCTTTGTAGACTGATGCAAGTTGTCACCTGACCGCAGTCAGTGATGCTTGACTTCGGTGTTGTACTGGGAACCGTAACATTCGGTGCATAACGCCCAGCGTCGTGTGTAACTTACGGAAACAATTCCAGTACAACCGCATCCATCAAGAGAAATCATGGATCAAGAAAAACGAGGACCAGAGAAGATCAGCATTTATCAATTATAGCGAGGTTTCTCAGTTCTCTCGTGACTTGTATGCAGTCACAAGAACTCGTGTATAAATGTTGAATGGTGACTGTTTCCAAACGACTTCATGAGAGAGGGTTGCTTGTAAGAAGACCAGCTCTGTGGCTTGTGTGAGGGATGAGGTCTGGGAACCCTATGTTCGGTTCTCCAGGGGTTCAGCTTTCCCAGAGTTCTTTTTAATGCGCTATAACACAAGACCACATAGAGCTCTTCTGGTAAACAAATTTCTAGAGAGTGAGAGAATTTTCCGGATGGATTTTGCCAGCCAGATCTCTAGAGCTCAACCCTATCAAGCAAGTCTGGGAAGCTCTGGAGAGGGCAATTGCAACTCGCTACCTCCTTCCGAAAACAACCCAGGGAATGAAAACAGCGTTGCTGTACAAGTGGGACCAATTGTCACGGGAAATGATAAGCTGCCTTATTTCAAGTATGAAAGTACGCTGCAAGGCCTGTATGTCTGTAAGAGGGGACCATAACCCCTATTAACCCATTTACTGCAACCGCTGTTTCATACCTTCCGACTCCACCGAGTGTTGCACACGATCATGCTGGTGTATTACAATTGTTGTATAGTTATTTGTTTCCTTTTGTTTTATGTGTACATCAAATCTTATTAAAATCGGAACAGTAGTTCTAGAGATATTAGATCAAGTCTGCAAATTCTATTAATTTCTTACCCCAGTGTTTATATACTATACTCATTGCATTGCGCTCTTCGAAAAGAGTTATCTTAATAAAACAAACTGAACTGACAACTGATTCACTATCAAGCTTGACTTCGATTTTGTTTTACAAAGCTGGACAGTCTCCGGCTTCTCTTTTCATGTAAACGTTCAATAACCTGGCGTTTACTGCTTTTTCGGGCCATTGCGATCGAACCCCTCTTTTACATTTCCAAAGTTTCGTTGTAGTTTCTTCAAATGAGTAGTCATACATAAGAAACATAGGTTAGGAAGCATTAAATCATATATATTATGTTTTGGTTTTCAGCATCTTGCCTTTCGTAATTTTTCTTAAATGTGATGTTTCTTTTTTCAGAAAAAAAAAACGATTAAGGAAAGTAATAAAGGATGTGTAAAATATTACGAACTACAAATTCAAAAATAATTGCGATTGAGCAATTCAAAAATTTAATCTTAATGTTTATTAACCGAGAACATTACCGAGTGAAAATTATTTCACATATTTTGAAGATATTTTTTGTTCAGTCCTTTAGTTGATTAGTTGCATTTTGCATTCTTAAGGCAGACCTCAAAAAGAAGGGAAAAATTTTTTTTTTCCTTCATTGGAAATCTTAAAACGTTCTGCAATTTACGCAATTAAATAGAAATAACACTTAAAATTAATCGCTTGCTGAAAAACTCATTCCTGTGATCATATGATACATTTTTAGAATTGTCCTAAAAAAAGAGTTTAAACGCTATTAGCTAGAGTTATTTTATATGAAATAAGTATTTCATCATTGTAATAAACAAAGAAACGTGATCTCAATTTATTAAGAAGTCTAAATACACCTTTAAGATATACTTGCTGTATATCAACTTATCTGCTAAGATATATCTGTAATAAAAGTGTTATTTTTTTTCTGACACGAACATATAATACACGTTGATCCATCGTTACAATTATTATAGAAAATATCATATAAATTCATAAATTCAGTATATAAATTAGAGTACATAAATAGTAAAGTATATGAATGATTATATAACATAAGCTACATAATTAAAGAGTTATAAATTATTTTTTTATTCCGAAGAAGAAAATGGGATGTCTAAATTTCAATGAATCAATATCCAAAACAACGAACAAATTAGAATGAGAAACGAATTACAAAGAACGAATTAGAACGAAACGACGGAATTTGAATCGTGAAAAACAGTGTATTTGTCAGAAAAACACTGAAGAGAATTTCTAATAGTATCAGCGTTTTCGTTTTTTAACGCGTCATTTCCCATTTATATAATAATTTGTTACTTCTTATATTTCTTTTTATATCACAAATTATAAACGTGTATTAATATATTAACGGCATTCATTACAAAACTCCTTATATTAACACTTAACATTGCTTAACAGTAGAAAGGCTGAAACTTAGTATATACCTATATTGCGAAAAACAGTCAAAATGACTGAATTGTGAAAAAATATAGAAATTTGTTTAAAATTAATTCTTAATATTTTTTTATATTATTTACAGTTACATAACAAGTTATTAGTAAATATTAACAATAAAAAAAGTATATGTTGTACAAAAATTAACAAAATTCTAAGATATTGCGTCATTATATACATCAGTGTTTTTCTAATTGAAATGAAAAAGCAGTCAAAATGACTTCCTTAGGCAATCTAGTGTTAAAACGTACTAATTTTTATACATTTTTCGTTACTAAGTTCAGTACTTATAATACGCTATTTCGAATGTAACATTAATACTTTGTGTTGATAATTTCTCAAAACCTTGGGAATAAATGCAATCTGTACAATTTTCCGTACCTTCTGAAAAAATTTAGTCCGATAGAGATAATATATCAATGTACGTAATAATTTGGTATTTATGCATCTGCAAAAGAATAATATACCAGTACGTACTGAGTATTTCGAGGACATCTGGTGCACATAATTTTTTTTACAAATATTGTTACCGGGCACAATATAAATTCAACAAATTTTTATTATTTTACAAATATTCTTAGGAAGATACATTTTGTTTTGTGTTCCAAAAAATAATTGAGTAAAATAATTGATAATTGAATTGAAATAATATTGAATATATATAATAGTATAGTAATTGATATATATAATATAATAGTAAATGATTTATAGTTTAAATTCTAATCATTAAAGTTATTGTTTTCAAGCAATTATTTCTCTTAATTCATAATGAATATTAAGAATTCATTAACTAATAAGCTTAATTTATTAATTAATAAGCCCAATTTGTAAATATATTAAGCTTAATTGATCCGATTTAAAGAGAAAATGCAGTCCACACTTTTCAACCAAAAGTGAATTAGAAAAATCACCGTAACTTTTTAAAGAAATGCTCTTATTGTTTTTAAGCTTTTTTTTCAATAAATTTTAATAAATAAAAGCTGAAATTACAATGTCAAAATATAGAGATATTAATTCAAATTTTCATACACTTCACTATTTTATATTTTATTAACTAAGTTTAGTTTAAATTAATTATATAAGAATTTTTACATACTTTCAAGAAATTTCAACGAAAATTCAAAACCACGCAACAGATAAATTTATTTTGGGAAAGCAATATGCGCTAAGACTTTTAATGCTTTAAAAATTAAAAATCTAAGACAGATGTTTTTATTTAATTTTATATTTAGTATTCTCTTCTTTGTCTTTTAACCATCTTAAACTTATATTTTTAGGAAAAGTAGAGTTCAGACACAACCAAGTCTGAAATAAAAATAGAAAAACTTTGTACCAGATACCAGAAATATTTCATACAATATGAAATAGAAAATATAAATTATAAGACATTCATAACAATTTATAATACATGATTTAAACCAGAAATTGATTCTATGCTTTCTTTAAGCAAATGTACATTACCTGAAAGTAAGCAAACAGCGATACCAATTAGAAACCAGGTTTGAATTTTAAAAGATGACATTTTCAAATGCGAATAATATTGCAATGTCTCGTAAAATGAGATGAAATAAGAAGCTACTTTTATCTACGCTATTTGAAAGTTTTTCTTCCTTTTATCGTGTGTAGAGATAATAATTTAAAATGCATCTTCACGCATTTGAAACTTAAAATAGTATAAGGAAAACATTACTACTTCAGAAATATAAATCTCATGACATGAACCCGCCTTATAAGCTTGCCCTTATCTTTGCAAACATGATTTTTCATCTTAATACTCATACTAACATTTGCCTCCGACGTCCGGCTGTTCCTTATTTTTAAATTAAAAAAAATTTCAAGTATTCGAAATTTAAACATTATTTTCAAAAATCAAGAGAATATGTAATCATACATTAATATTACACTAGAAAGAATGGATTTAATTATTGACAATCACATATTCGAATTTCAGATGAGTGATATATATATATTTNTATATATATATATATATAGTAGATCCACGGAGTCAAGCATCACTAGGAAGTGATGAGCCTGCGAAGGGACTAAGTGTGCGCGGTATCTGTCTTAGTTAACCCACTTTAGGCAAAGCATATAAATTTTATAAAATGTGGTATTATTTTCATTTAAATATCTTTGCAATACATTACATTCATTACGAGCCGCAATGGCTCAAGGGATAGAGCGTTCGGCTTCCAATGAGACTAACCGGGTTCGATACCAGTCGTTCCCAGTCGATACCAATGAGCTATTAGCGACTGTCTGGGAAACATCCCTGAGGATCCGAAGACATGCCATCACAATTTGATCCTCTGTATAGGGAACGGCTCCCCTACTTTGGTAGCCCGACAACTTGCGAGCGAAGTTCCGGAGGGTGCGTCCGCCTTCCAATGATATGAACCGGGCTCGAATCCCCAGCAATGGCTGGTCTAAACGAATCTGCATCCGGCTTTCACCGACCACAGTGCTGATGTGGACGGATCACGGGTTTGACTCCTTTTACCGTCAGGCTAACCGTGGGAGGTTTTCGTGGTCTTTCTTTCCATGTAACGCGAATGCGGGTTAGCTCCATCAAGAAGTCCTCCACGAAGGCAAAGTTCCTCCCAATACTTGATCCATGAGTTTCCTTGTCTTCTGGATTGGGTTCAAAATGACAAGGCTACGGAGTTGAACATTAGTAGTTGTAAGCCTTTAAAATTGTGTCGGCTGTTCAACGACGGTTATTAAATAAAAATATAAAAATTTCGTTCATTAAAAATTCACAAAAAAATTTTGTGTATAAAAAAATTTATATTTTATTTAAGAGATAAAATAGGGCGCATAGCTACCATTCATCAAATCAATGAAGAAACAATTTAGTTGAACGCTTCCTTTTTTTTATAAAATTTGGTTTATTTATTTTTATTTACTGTCTTGCAACTTTAATTCATTGTAAAAACATAATGATAAATCCCAAAAGAAATAATTATCCATTTTCAAAAATTTCATTTGTCAACAAACTTCAATAGTTTAAAAATTTCTTAACATAAAGTGTTTACTCCAATTGAATTACCATTAATTTTTGGGTGTCTTGAAAACCCCTGACATTAGCAGAAAAATAAAATTAGTGAAAAATATACGTCACAGTGTTAATAAAAAATATTTATTGAAATGGTGCATTTGTGCACCTTTGGCCGAAAATGAGTTTAACATTAAACATACCATTACCGGCCAAATGACCATTTAAGAACTTTTGCATCGAAAATGCGCTTATCATCTTATTGTTTTTTTCACATATGACTTCATGACTTTTTCTAGAAATTATAAACAGTTAATATTCTATTATATTTTTTCTCGTATATTGTTTGTTTCGAATAATACGTGTCGCATACCAATTTCTACCACAACCTGTCATTTGACCGGGAAAACAATTTGTTGCTTTATTAGCTTATCGGATCAGAGATGATAATGTACTGAGCATTAAACGTATTATATTCAATTAGTTGCACATTTCTGCAAAGACTGTTGCGTAGTATATAATAATAATTGTAGTTGAGTCAATCAGAATAACTATTAATTCAAATTTCAAGAAAGTACCTAAAATTTATATTGGCATTCTTGTGTCAGAAAAAGGGACAAAAACTAAATGCTTTGGTAAGTAGCTTATATTTTATGTTGATAGATTTATTTCATTTCTAACTAAATGTTAGTTTTTACCCAGAGAAATGTCGAAACAATCAAGACAGAACAGGTTATTAGAGGAAATTATATTAATTATAAGAAAAATTATGATTCTTATGCACCGAAGAGCCACTCTGCTAATAACATGTAGGATCACCTTTAGCCTGTTAACTATTCTACCTCTACTTTAGCCCTCGAATTCGCAAGCAGGTTATAAGGCTACCGAAGCGCGGCTGGAAGAGGGCATCACGTTTGCAGAGGATAAAAATTATAAGGTCTGTCAGAAAATATATGCAGAAATAAAATATCCCTATGTTATATAGCAGAGGTTTCCAACTTACATGAGGCCAAGGACCACAATTAAAAACACTGGTGACAAATGGCGAGTCTCAACTTCGTCAAAATTTTATATAGGACTATTTTATGTTTGAAGGAACTTTAAATATTACTGTCAAATTTTTATCAAGTTGTACAAAACAGAAGTATTGAATTACAAATAAATATTTTCTTGGATGCAAAACCTGAGAAATAAATTTTTTTGCACCGTTGGTACGTTAAATTTCACAGAAACGAAGAAATTTTTTTTTCAACGAAAGAAAAGTATTTTAAACCCATATAGATTTCTTACGAAAATTGTCAGCATAAAAATGAATATATTTTAGTTCGCGGGCCAGAAAAAAAGGCTACCGCCAGTTGGAAACAACTGTTATAGAGTGTATTAAAAAAGATTGGGTTTCGCTATTATGCTGGTATAAAATTTAATAGTCATAATTTTTAACATTACTCCAATATTTGATTATTGTAGAAACTCTATAAATATTTTATTTAGCATTGTAATTCTTAATATTATTTTTAAACATTATTCGGTATTTATTATATTAATTGCATATGCAAACGGAACGCATAAAATTCATTTTAAAAATATATAAATTATTTATATTAAAAAAAAACAGATCATTTAACACTTTTAAAGCTCGAAAAATAAAATATAATCATCACTCTTATTTTCTATTCTTATAAGAATGTGCCGGCAGCAAAAGGGGAAAGGATTTTATACTTCTTGTTAGGCTTAGTTTGAAAGAATGTATTATTCTGCGGGATATGCAAATGAATCGTTAAATTAATGATGACACGCTTTATTTTTAAAACTCTCTCAGAAAATTGTTGGATTAGGAGCTGAAAAAGAACAAAAAATATCGCCATCACTAAATAAACTGCACTGTGAGCAAAATTAAAAAATTAAAAAATAGAACACCTTAATAGCTTTTCATCGAATGTTTTTACGTACTTAAGATGGAATCTTAATGATTCGTGGACTAACCTCAAGTATGATAATTTAGAAAGCTTGAAACACAAATCAGGCAAAAAAACAAAGAATTTTAAAGATATCCACGATAAGAAAGGTTTATTTTCATTCAGCAAAAACCTTTTAACGTAAACCTAAAGAGGTTTGTTATACTGTTAACGTGTAGACCTTCGAACCTTTAAACGAGATCTGTGGCAATCTGCCCTATTCTACACCTAATCCAAAACCTTGGAAACAACCTTCTCTATATATAAACCTTAAATCGAGGTTGACTATAGGTTTTCAAGAGTGAAAAAATCCTTGAATAAGGCTAAGGTGAAAATAATCTTTAATCTAGGTCATTATAAGGTTTCTTTTCGCAAAGTCTTGCATGCTCAGCTAAAATCCACCTTGTCATGAAATCTTAATGGATGATGCAATTTGATCCTATCGCTAGTGTGACGTCAGCTAAAACGTCATTATGGACCAAAGAAACCATTTTATCAAAGTGACAATGTTTTAAAAAAGCTTTAAAAAATAATTTTTAGTCTTTTTAGGATGAAAAGTGCAATATTTTTGCCTCATTGGAAAAATGTTTTTAGTACAAACATTTTCGTGAGAAAAAAAAGATAATTCCGACACAAGTTTGCCAACATACAGAACCTTTTCTGTCGTCAATGGTAACCAAAAACTGACTGTGCCCCAGAGTGGATATATGGATAAACAAAATAAAAACAATCAATTAAAAATCAAAAACTGAATTGTAAATGCAATGAAAAGTTAATGAAATGCAAACAAAATTCAAAAATAGTACATAGAGTAAGAAGTAATGATGAAACGCCCTCTTATAAGAAAAATGAAAAAAAAATAAAGTTATAGTTTGATTCCTACCCTCTAAAAATGGCAATCTGGAAAACCACGGTTTTCTATGCCTTTTATGCTTATTTCTTTTTCAAGCTAATTAGAATAAAAAGCAGTCGTATTTTTGAATGCTTCATTTTTGCAAGAACTATTTGAACAATTCCGTTCTATTGGTGAATTTTTCTCATTAAAAACTATATAGTTAAAAAGTACATTTTTCGACCATTATTAAAATAAATAAAAATAATTATTTTTTCATTGAATTATGTTTGTATAAAAAATTCAAAATTTTTGATGGCTATCAATTGATGGTCCAACATAATATTGATAATAACCGTCAATTATTCCATCATAAACCATTATACGTTTTGATGATAACCCACATAAGTAACCATCACCTCAATATAGGGATTCGAACTGAATTATGATGGTCCAACATAAGAATAGTAACTTGTTTTGATCGTTTGTTCATATTCAGCCATCAGAAATTCCTATCATAGTTTCTTAGAAATCAAATCTTGAAACGATCATGAACAACCATCCCCCCAATGTAGGAATTCGGATTGATTTATGATGGTCCAACATTTAAAAAAACATTTTTTGATGTAAGAACCAACAGATATATCCATTAAACTATCATAGAAATGTATAGTTGGAACCATCATGGACCATCACTAATAATCATGGAAGTCCAAATGAGCTTCATTCAAACAGAAAATATACTTACAAGCTTTAATGAAGAAAAGGTTCTTTATCAAAACTTCGCTGTCAAATCTTCCATGGACAAAACTTCGCCGATCCTTAAATTCGTGAAAAAAAATTTCACCGATCTATAACTTAGCGTGTATGAATTTTCACCGATTCATAGCTACG